GAATGACCCAGTTATTTAACAATAGCATTAAAACAACATTCGCATTTAAGAAAAGTTCTAACTACACACTGACCATGTGTTAGACCATAACCACAGTGACAAATACTCCCCGTGGTTTACCTTCCACTTCTTTATTTCTTGCTTGCTTATGTGAACGAAGCTCTGTAGGGAGCTGGATATGGCCGGATATGGCTGGGAGGACCTTTTTCATGTCACCACTGAGAGACCCTGGCAAACAGAACTTTAAACTCCATCTTGCAAGATCGGCCATGATAGCAAATCTAATGTATACAGGGAAGAATTCCTCTAATGTTCTGTGAGACAGGTGAAACTTACATAATCATTTTTACCTGTATTCCATGGTCAATATTTGCCTACCTTCCAGGAAGCTATACAATTCAACCAGGTGCCAAAATGAGGTGAAGAAATTCAATGCATTCATAGTCTACTATATTATCTCTTGATATTAAATATCCTATTCCACTTATTAGGATATAATGAATCCTTCCTTCCGTGTGGGAGTCAATCCCACCCTGTTAGTGCATTAACTCTAAGTGATGCTACCAGCTTTGGAGATAGTTCCTTGAAGTACAGTGACACTTGCCCAAAGAACACAATTACAGAAAGCTCTCTACTGCCATTAGCCCTAATATAGCAAAGTGACCACAAAGAGATATTTTAAAAACCAAGAACTACCATCTAGTAAAGATAATAAGGGAGATGGGGAAGGCTCACATCTGAGGTAATCATACCCCTTGAATGGATATTTTGAAGTCCTCTCCTCTGAGGGCAATTCTTTGACTTCAATTTGCTTTTAGAAAAGAACAACCTCTTTGTTGCCCTTTATAGTGTTCTTGGGCTACTTTCTACTATTGCAATCATCTTCTTGGAGGTTCATTTTTGTTCATTACCATCGTAGGTCATACATACATCATAGGTCAGTAGAAAGATAATGTGGCTGATTATCTATGCAAGTCGTATCCTCCCAAGGTTCTTTCCTCATTGCTGCTCTCGTCTGCTGTTTTCCCCCATTGCCTCCATATTTTAAGGCTGACATAGTTAGGACATAATATTATACCTTTCCTTATGTCTATGGTGGAGCCCAAAGTCTCAATTTAACTTATTGTTTGGAACTAAAAACATTGAGTTTTCCTTCCTTTTTGCTCCTGTTTTATCTGCAAACTAGCAAATTGTTACTATAGCTCATCTCTGTCTCTTTAAAAATCTATTTCTTTCATTAAAAACAAACAAAAAAGCATTTATTAAACATTCTAAGTTCTTACCTTTACCCTGAGACAAGGGGTCAGTAGGCATGAGGTCCAATGTCCAAGTAATTGCAAATGGCCTCTTTAATAATTGTCATATAACACAAATCTCCCATTCTTCACACCTGAATAGTAAATCTCATCCTGGCTATGCTATGTATTTTGAAGTTGCCCCAGAACCAAATTCTACATCAGAATAGGTTACATGCACTATCTTTTAGTAAAACTTCTCTTTAGTTTAACACAATAGTATTTGAACACTCAAGTTTGGGTGACTTACACAGAGAAAAGCCCCTTGAAATCTTTCAGAAGACAGTTCCTTCTCTATCTTAAAGATGGGGAGAATCCAACTGTGGAATCAAACAAAATAAGGAAGTTTTGTGGGCAAGAACTGTAGGTGATTGACATGATTTTCTTCTTCATTCTGTTTACGACATGTAATTCTTAAGTTACATGACTTAAACCTAATTCAAGAGATGCCAGTTAGCAGTAAGGAGGTTGAGTCAGGTGAATGGCTATGCTTTCGAGGCTAGCTTGCATTACAGAGTGAGACCCCTGTCTCAAAAAACCAAACCAAACCACACCACAAAACAAAGAAAAACAAGAAAAATTCTCTCTCTCTCTCTCTCTCTCTCTCTCTCTCTCTCTCTCGAGAGAGAGAGAGAGAGAGAGAATATGAACTAAGAAAAGTAGATTAGTTGAGTACTATAATAATTAGTTTGATTAAGTAGTTTGCTAATCTGCCAGAACGCAGAGGGATACATTCCAGATGGATTAGGAATAGACATTTCAACATGAAGCTATTAAAGTACTAGAGGAATAGCAGGGTTATTTGGGGATATCATAAACTTTACAGGGCATGAGAATTTTCATGGCTGAGTGGAGGAATGAGATGCTGGATCAGAACCAAGTAATTTTTATTACTCACAGTAAAAACAAGACATACTGCAAGGATGCCTATGCCAGCTCCCCAGGAGATTTCAGTCTGGAAGAGTACCCCAAGTCTCAATATTTCATCAGAAAAACTCAAAGGACTCAGAAAAAGCTGTTGTACCTGTTGAATGTGTTGTGACTTATCATCATCATTACATTAATAGAAAAGAGACTAAAATTAGCACAGGAAAAGGGGGCATGGCTT